CTTATTCTGTAGCCCAGATTGGCCTGGAACCCACTAATGTACCCCCAACTGGCTGTGAAGGGGCAGCAGTTCCTTCATTTCAGCCTCCCACACAGGAACAGTTACACTACTGGACTTGCATTTTCTTAACACTTGGATTTCCAGACCAAATTTTAGAAAGTACTCAAATAGAAGATTGCTGATTTTTGAAATTGTGATTATTATTATTAATTTATAAATATCTGTGTTAAGTTTTTTGTTAGGGCATTAAGTTTTGCCGACTCCTCTAAGATTTCTGGGCATTCATCAGTTTTGTTTTTCAGCTATATTTCTGATGGCATCCTTAGGCTACTTTATAAATATAAAAAATTGTCTTTATTTAAAATTAAAAATTTTTTTAGATCATATTTTATAGCCCAAGCTGGCCTAGATTCCTGGGATTGCTTCCCTCTCAGCCTCCCAAGTGCTGTGATTACAGGTTGGTGAAGCACTTTTCTTACACGTTGTAAAAACCAGTCAAGAAACCAGATACAGTAGCTCAAACTTCCAGTCCCAGCACTTGGAAAAGTAGAGCCAGGAGGGTCAGCTTTTTCTGCATAGTGAGTTCAAGCCCCTCCTGGACATGAGACCCTTTGTCACCTCCCTCCCTCAAATCAAAGCAAAAAAAGGAATATTGTGTCCTTTCCAGTGATAGTGTGGTTCTTGACCTTTTTGTGGACTAATCAAGGTGCTAATTTTTTTTACATGTATAATCTCTCCTTTAATCCTCAGGGTCTCCCTGTAGCCCCAGCTGTCCTGGAACTCACTATGTAGACCAGGCTGGCCTTGAACTCACAGGGATCCGCCTGCCTCTGCCTCCCGAGTTGAGATTAAAGGTGTGCGCCACTATGCCCGGCTTAATTTAGTTCTCTTTTATAAATGTAAGTTAAATAATTTACTAAGGTCATAGAGCTAGTGAATAACAAAACTGGATCCAGACTCAACTCTGTCGAAGTCTTTCTTTTCTCTACCTGATTGTTTCCCTGCCCCACCTCAGGCTTTTTTCCCCCCTCCTTTGAGACAGGATCCTCCTACCTCTGCTTCCTGAGTGCTAGGATTAGAGGCATACCTTACCATACGCAGTATATGTGGCACTGGGTTTTGAACCTAGGGCCTCATGCATGCTAGACAAGCACTTTACCAACTGAACCACATCCCTAGCCCTTTCTTGTTTTTTTGACAGTCTCAGCTCAGGCTGGCCTGGAACTCTTTGATCCTCCTGCCTCAGCTTCCCAAGTGCTGGGATTGCAAGAGTGAGCTGCCATATCCACCTACCCTTTTTTTATATTCATTTTTATTTGTGTGTGTGTGTGTGTGTGTGTGTGTGTGTGTGTGTGTGTGTGTGTGTGTGTGCGTGC